TAGTAGTAGTAGTAGTAGTAGTAGTAGTAGTAGTAGTAATAGTATAGTAGTAGTAGTAGTAGTAGCAGTAGTAGAGTAGGAGTAGTAGTAGTAGGAGTAGTAGTAGCAGTAGTAGTAGTAGTAGTAGTAGTAGTAGTAGTAGTCGTAGTAGTAGAAGAAGACAAAGTAGTAGTAGGAGTCGTACTTGTAGTAGCAGTGAGCACCCGTACTCGTAGTAGTAGATGCAGAAAGTGTGAGAATGACAGTTTCCTACGATTGCTCCTGCAACTACGGCTAATACTATTACCAATTGCAACAGCTACTACTAGTACTATCACTACTACGACTACTACTACTACTACTACTACTACTACTACTACTACTACTACTACCACTAGTCCTACTAGTACTACCAGTAACTACCAGTAGCGAATCCCACTAGTAGGAACTGCTACTATTAGCGACGTTGACTACTACTACTACTGCTACTACTACTGCTACTACTACTACTACTACTACTACTGCTACCTCGGCGATTAGTACTATTACTACTACTACTACTGCTACTAATACAACTACTACTACTACTACTACGACTAATACTGCTGACTACTACTAGTCGTAACTCCAACTACTACTACGACTAACTACTACTACGAGCCCCGCTAACTACTTCTACTACTACTACTACTGCTACTACTACTACTACTACTACTACTACTACTACTACTACGACTAAGACTGCTAAGTACTACGAGTCTTAACTCCAACTACCACTACCACTACTAATAGTACTACTACTACTACTACTACTACTACTACTACTACTACTACTACTACTAGTTGTACTCTTACGTTTACTACTACTACTACTACTACTACTACTACTACTACTACCACTACTACTGGTACTACGAGTACTACTTGTACTACTACGACTACTACTACGACTACTACTACTACTACTACTACTACTACTACTACTACTACTACTACTACTACTACTACGACTACGACTACGACTACGACTACGACTACTACGACTACTACGACTAACTACGACTACTACTACTACTACTACTACTACTACTACTACTACTACTACTACTACTACTACTACTACTACTACTACTACTACTACTACTACTACTACTACTACTACTACTACTACTACTACTACTACTACTACTACTACTACTACTACTACTACTACTACTACTACTACTACTACTACTACTACTACTACGACTACTACTACTACTACTACTACTACTGCAAGCTTACCCCCAGTAGGTTCGTGCACCCGGTGGCAAAGGGCGGCTCCGAAGACCTCGGCCTCTTCGTCGGGGGCCCCGAGACCTTCGCCTGGCAGAAGGCGAGCGCGCGCGCGGTCGTCGTGGGCGGCACCGCGCTCTGGCTCAAGCTATGGGGCGAGGAGAACGCGTGCATCCACGAGAGCGCGATCTACGCCGCAGGCGCAAAGAGACGCATCCGGAACTTGCTCCGGAAGCAACGCCAGACGCAGGTCGACGGGGGCAAGGCAGCCTTCGAGGCCGAGAAGGCCAAGCGCTTGGCAGAGCACCCCGACCAGAAGGAGCAAGGTCCAGGCCTACTCGACTTCAGGGGACAAGTACAGGGCCACCCTCATCAGCATCTCCGCAGCCGAGGCCTGGCTCGTCCCAAGCAGGGGGCCAAAGTCCGCCGAGAAGCGCAGCGTGCTCCTCGCCCCCTGCGCAAGGCACTGCCGAGTGAGAGGGCCTCTAGGAAGGCACCTGGCGGCGCGATGTCACCTACGAGCGGAGCGACGGCGAGACGGAGCGCTTCCGAGCAGGCGAACCCCTAGGAGCACTGCTCAAGGGCCGGCACAACGCTCTGCTCGAGTTCTCCGAGGAGGAAAGCGCTAGGGTTGTCGAGGCCATCGACGTGCGGGGGCGACCCAAGGCCTGGACGGACGAGCTCGTCGCTTCCTGGACCATCGATTTCATCGAGCAGCAGCGCGGCCAGGGCCTCGCGTTCGCAGACTGCCTCTCGAGCCAGCGGGCCGAGGCAATGGCGCCCCGAGCGTGGCTCCAGAACGTGGTCTACGCGCCCATGGCCCCAGGCGTCACAAGCTGCTCGCAGGAGCCGGACACCCGCGAGCACATCCAGCTCAGGGCCATGATCCGAGAGGTCAAGGCCGAGAGGCACTGGGCCATGGAGCAGGGCTGGATCCAGAAGGCCACGGCCGATCCCCAGGAACAGCACAAGTCCCCGACCCAATGGGGGCCCAACGAATGCCTCTACCGCGCGTCTGAGGCCTACGCCCGCATGGGCGAGAAGAACGGGGGCGCGGTGCCGCTCCAAGGGCGGCGAGCGAACCAAATGCTCGCGGGCGAGCCCAAGGTCGTCACGGGCATGGGGCCGTGGAGCAACTCCACCGAGCCTGGCCGCGGCGTCGAGCAGAAACTGGCGAGCGAGCGCCTGGGGGGCATGCAGAGGTGGCCCGAGAGCGTGCCGCCCGTGCCCGAGTGGAGCGCCCGCGACGGGAACCGCTGCCGCCGGGGCGACTAGCCCAGGGGCTACGAGCAGGACGAGATACCCCGCCTCCTGGTGCTTCGAGAACTGAACATCGAGCTCGCCGACGAGCAGAAGAACGTGCTCAGAACGCCAGAAGAGCGGATCAAGGAGATCCAGTTCCCGCGCGCCCTCGAAGGCCGAATCAAGCGGGCGCGAACAGCAACTCGCAGAAGCAGGTGGGCGTCCAAGTTCTCGGGCAAGTTCCTGGGCAAGCTGCGGCGCAAGTGGCAGCGCGCGAAGGCCGAGTGGCGGCGAGGCCTCGCTCGATCACCTGGGCCGAGGCGTGGCCAAGGCGAAGCTCACAGGTAGGCCTCCGAAGGCCAGGGCGAGCTCCCCGCAGAAGTTCAAAGCCAAGGCGCAAGCGGAGACGAACGCCAAGAAGAAAGCGTATACCAAGGCGAAAACAGATCTCGAGGCTAGCGAGGACCCCCCCCCCCGGCACGGCCAGGTGGCCCACGTCGCCGAGGAGGGGGTCCACGAGGGCAGGCGCGCCAGCGTGCAGAACGTCTGGCGAGTCCTGGGCACCGAGGACGCGCGCCGCCTGCGCGCACACGAGGTGGAGACCGCGGCGACCTTCCAGATCGACGGCGGCCAGGCTCGGAGGCTCACAGGCACCCGCCACCTCTCGCCTGCTCCCGACCGGGACGGCGGAAGCGAGCGGAAGCAGCAACGGAAGCGGCGGAAGTTGGCGGACAGCTGGCGGCTGAAGCGACGGCGGAACCTTGAAGCCACGAAGCGGAAGCAGGCGGAAGCAGGCGGAAGCTAACGAGTGCGTTTGAATCCCGAACGCCACCGGTCACGATCGAGCGAGACTACAAGTTCCCCAAGCCGCACAAGCTCGACTGGCGCCAGACCAGACTGGCTCGCCGCACCGAGCTCGCCGAGGAGTGCGCGATCATGAGCTGCGACCAGATCGTCAAGGGCGACACCCTCGAGCTGGGCACAGTGCGCGCGCTGCTGGGCGAGATCGAGGAGCGCGCGGGCGTCCCCCAGACCGTTCTGGCGGTCGAGCCCACGGCGGCCGTCGCCTGGGCTCGAGAGGGCCAGGGCGAGGACGAGCCCGCCGCCCAGCAGCCCGAGGAGCAGAAGCGCTGGGCCGAGAGTCCACAAGGCCGAGCACGTCCTGATCTGCGTGCGCTCCGAGGCGCCCGCGCACAACACCTACCTCAACACCTACCTCAAGGTCGCTGGTTGCTACACTTGTCCCTGCCCCAAACTGCCTCTATGTGTTCGGTCCGTTTTGAAGCGAATCCTGGAAGCACCCTGGGCAGGGGCACTTGTAGCAACGCGAGGGTCGGCGGGGGCGTCGCGGTGGAGTACAACGACGCCCTCAAGCAGCCGCCCGAGAAAGCCAAGCAGGCCTAAAGGGCCACTTGCGAACTGACACCTACACCCCACGATGTCTGAAGGGGGGGCAAGGGTTCACTTTGCTCGGGAGCTGCCTCCTCATCAGAAATCGTGGGTCGGGTTCGCATGTGGCCTCCCAAAAAGGCGCCGCGAAAATCCTCCGCAAGCTCGGCCCTGGCGAGACCTGCCCTTCGAGGAGCAACGACATGTTCCAGGCCGACGCCTGGTCATGCGGCCTGTGGACGAGTCGCTGGATCGAGCGCGCCTTGTGCGAGATCCGAAGCGAAGGCCACCAAGCGCCCGAAAACATCAGCACGATGTGCGCCCGACGCAACGAGTGGATCAACAAGCTCAAGGAGGCCAGCGACAATGACTTGGCTAAGGCAAAGGCCAACGCCAAGAGCAAGGCCAAGTCCAAGCCCTTGAAGGACCCCGCGGCGGTCGAGCCGAAGCACGCCACCTTCGAGGAGGCAAGCGCTGCCGCCCAGGCGCGTACCAAGTGCCTCCCGTGCAAGGACGGCTCCATGAGCGAGCCGAGTCTGCATGGGTGCATTGGGAAATGGTTCGAGGTCGTGCGCAAGAGAGGTTTCTTGGCCAGGAGCGCCAAGGACCTCTCTTGCGCAGGCAAGTTGTAGCCACGAGCCTCGACATCTCTCGAGTCTGTCTTGTGTCCAGATCTACAGGTTCAGTCTACACGAGCGCCCTGGATCATGATCATCAACATCATCATCATCATCACCATCATCATGATCATCATCATCATCATCATCATCATCATCATCATCATCATCATCATCATCATCATCATCATCATCATCATCATCATCATCATCAGCATCATCATCGTCACCATCATCAACATCATCAACATCATCATCATCCTCATCATCATCATCATCATCCTAACATCACCTTCGCCGGAAAAATCGTTGATTATCCCCGCCAGACCCCCCAAACTTTATTATCCCCAGGGGATTATTATCGGGAGCACTGGGTTTAAAAAGAGGTCGAAGGCAAGGCGGCCAAGTTACCGACCGCAAAATGCGAAAAAGCAGGAACGAGCTGAACCTCCTCCTCCTCCTCCTCCTCGTCCTCGGCCCCCCGCCGCGAGAGGCCGCCTCACGTCCGGCAGGAGGTGGCAGAGGAGGATGGCGGCGACCGGGGGCACCACGGACAGCCAGGCGCAGGCCTTCCACAGCCCCGCGAACTGCTCGGCTTCGCTGGTGGCGCCCTGGGGCCTGCGCTCGACGACGAAGGGCCCGGGGCGGCGGCGCCGTCGTCGGCTCTCGCCGCCGCGGCCGGACGGCGCTCAGACAAGCTGGCAGGAACGGGACCCCGGTTCTGAGCGGACTCTGGCCTGGCGCGACGACGACGACGACGACGACGACGACGACGACGACGACGACGGACAGCGCACGGATGGCGGCGGGTGACGGCAACCTGCGAAGGCGGCGACGACGACAGCGGCGACGTGGGGCCTGCACTGCAGCGCCTGCAGGAGCCATGCCCCGAGGTTGCCCGCGACCGCCGTGCCTCGGTGAACGACCACGGCTGGCCACGACCGCCACGACGGCGGCGGCGGCGACGACGATGACCACGACCACGGCGGCGGCGACCCAGACCTATCTCGCTGCGTGACAAATCTCGGCGGCGAGCGAAGGGGGAAAGTGAGAAGGAGAAGGCCATCTCAGAAGGCGGAAGGCCGTCTCAGAAACCCTCGCGCCTTCTGTGGTTTTTGTCGTCTTCAGCGGAACGGTTTCAGAACTTCTCAGAAGGCCGGGGGACGTCCGAGTCTTTTGAGAAGGCCCGCCCCTTCTTACTTCCCCCCACGGACTCACCGGGCCCTTGGACTTTACAGAAAGGCTCGAGGTGAACAAACAGTCCCACGGGGTGGGGTCGAGACCTCTGGAGGTCTAGTTCGGCATCGGAAGTCTGGGGATGACGACGACTGGCGGCGCAGCGTTGTACCAAGGTTGTGACAGCCCATCAGCAGCGCGAACATCGTGGCCTCCATGCCGGCAGGGGCGAGGTAGGAGAATGCGGTAAACAGTGGCATCCAGCGCCACCTCTCCACGGCGAAGTAAACGGTGTTCGAACAGATCGCCCAGATCCAGTCCGGGACCCCCAGCAGCAGGTTCACGCGCTTGAACAATAGGATATTGCTCAGATTTGCAGCTGCGGCGGCGATGTTGGCCATGACCACCCACTTCCGATAGGTAATCTTCTTGGACAGCTTCTGGTAAGTGATAATGCCTCGGCGGTCAGCAGGAACACAGGGACACACAAATAAATAGGCACAAAGATCCAAGAAACCCCTCTAGGCTTGCATATGTTCTGGCGGTTCGTTTTCCCCTCCACTTCCAATTTTGTCCTGTTTTCCTGGGAATCGGCGTCCATGTCTGTGTGTCTACCTGTCCCTCGTGATTCCAAGAAAGCAGCTGTAATCAAGGAGGGGGCTGGCCGCTTGGAGCAAGCTCAGAAGTGGCCCTGGCACGCCCTCACCTCGGTTCCCGCCCTCGGACTTAAGGACCACGTCCAAGAAAAGTAACGAACCAGTGTCGAACGAGTATCCCTTCCAAGGGCCCGGTACGTACAAAACATCAGTTTCGATACTTTCGTGGTCGAATTTCTCTCTGGTGGTCAGGTTACAGTAAGTTGGAACATCATAACCCACAAACCCTCTGGGCCTCGTGGCGGGGGTGCTCTGGAGGGCCATCCGGGCGCCCCCGGAAGACCTGGAGCACCGCTGGCAAGGGTCCCCTCTGGCAGCGCCCGAGGCTGCCCAACCCGCTCCGTCAAAGTTAAAGGGGCCCAGGGGCACACAAATTGCTCATTGCCTGGAGCTCCTCAGATGTGCATCTGCTAGCATGGACCTGTCCGCCGTGAGCGTCTAGGCGCAGGAGCTTTCGGATAGAAGCGGGCTCGAGAATTGACGGTCTGGGAGCGAATCTAAGTGTGAATGAGTTGGAGTGTGAATGAGTCTCAGTAGTATTAGGGCGTCTCTGCGCGTGCGCCTGGGGCCTCCTGGGGCCTCTTGAAACCTCCTGAGGCTTCCTGGGGTCTCCTGGAGCCTCCTGGGGCCTCCTGTGGCCACGTGGGGCTCCCTATGGCCACTTGAAAACTCCTGGCCTGGGGCCTCTCGTGGCCTCCTGGGGCCTCCAGGAGCCTCCTGGATCCTCATAGGGCCTCCTGGGGAGGATTCGTGCCCCGGGAGATGCCCAATCTATAGGAACAGACGCAAAACACTTCGGATTGAAGCCACAGGGGGTAATCTGTAGGAGCACGCGTAAAACACCAAGGACTAGTACCCCATGGGAGGCCCAATATATAGAAACCTATGTAAAACACTGAGGAGTCGATACGCTGGACAAGGACACTGTATAGAAACAGAATAAACACAAAGAATTCGCACTCCAGGGGAGACCCAATCTAGTATGTAAAACGCCGCAGATTGGAACCACTCCTGTGGCCTTCTGAGGCCTCCTGCTCCAGGGGCCTCATGGGGGCTCCTGGGGCCTTCCGCAGCCTCCTGGTGCCTCCTGGCGCTTCCCGTGGCCTCCTGTGGTCTCCTGTGGCCTCCTCGGGCCTCCTGGTGCTTCCTGGCACGTTCTGAAGTCTCTTGGGGCCTCCTGGAGCCTCCTGTGGCCTCCCGGGGCCTCCTGTGGCCTCCTGTGGCCTCCTGGTGCCTTCTGGGACCTCATGTGGCCTCCTGGGGCCTCCTAGAGTCTGCTGGAGCTTCCTGTGGCATCCTCAAGATCCACGCCCGCGAGTCTGGCCAGCAATACAAGCAAACCGCTCGAGACATCCTCGCATTCTGGGCCACCAGGGGTGCGATAACCAGCGCCTCGCTCGAGACATACTCCAAGTCTGCTTCGAAAGCGGAGGATGTTGGGGGCACAAATAAGCAAACCGCTCGGGACATCGCAAACATCTTGGCGCGAATGGAGGAGTCAGATACCCCGTGGCGGCTCCCTCTTGGGGGCGCCTCGCTCGAGACATCCTCAAAATCAGCTCCGACAACAGAGGATGATGGGGGCACAAACGAGCAAACCCTTCGAGGCATCCCCGCCATCTTGGCGGGAACGGAGGAGTGAGATACCTCCTGGCGGCTCCCCACTGGGGGTGCTGAAACCCGCGCCTCGCTCGAGATATCCTCAGAATCTGCTCCACCACCATCATCATCATCATCATCAGCATCATCAGCAGCATCATGAGCAGCATCATCAGTATCATCAGCATCACCATCATCATAATCATCATGTTCATAATCATCATCACCACTACCATCATCACCATCATGACCAGCATACCCATCATCATAAGCATCATCATCACCAACATCATCACAACCACCATCATCATCGCCATCATCATCAGCATCATCAACATCATCATCAGCATCATATAGCATAGCGTAACATAACATGAGTTTGAGTGATGAGTGAGTCTGAGCGATGAGTGAGGTGTGGGTGTGACTGTCCTTCTGGCGCGATGAAAATAATGACGATAACCCCATCTTAGGATACGGAAAACAAACTGACGCAAATCCCAGGATTCTCCCAATGTTACAATATCGTCTGGGTTTTCGTCCTCCCCCCCACTCCCCATTGTTTCCTATATTTTCCTTGGGGTCCACGATTACTTGTGTCAGCGTGTGTGTGTGTGTGTGTGATTTGCGTCTGACGGAGGGTGTTAAGAGGGGGTGAAGAAAGGTGCCCTACAAGGTACCTTTAGGGTCCCTTTTGGAACCCAGAGGGGTCCGGAACATCAAGGGCCCCCTTTCTTCAACCCCACCCTGTAGGTCCCCATCCCTTACCACCCGTCCGACGAAGCTACGGGGGGAGGGGCTTCTCGGAAGTATGCCCTGAATCCCCTCTTTGCGCGCCGCCAATCTCCAGCCAGGCCGGCTGCGAACTGCACAGACCCCAGGCACGTATTGAAGAACAGCTTCGAGAAGTTGGGGCCACCCGGGTACTGATCCTGCGGGCCCCGAGGCACACAGGCCACCAGCACTTTCCCTCTCCCTCCCCCCTTCTCGTCTTCTCCTCTCCCACAAACACCCCTCGTCCATGCAGTCGAGACGTGTACCAAGGACGGGTGCAAGAACGCAAGAGCCTTGAAGGCCGAAGTTGGGTTTCTTGGGCGGCGGGCCAGTGCAAACGGCAAAGCACGGGCCGCAGATACCAGGACCCAAGGGCACCCCAGATGAAGGTGCGCGTCCTTAGTAGGCGCGTTGGCAGTACTTCCACTTCCACCTCGCCCACCCCCCGTTTCTACCTCTCCCACACTCCCTCCTCGTCTCCTCCGCTCACCATGGAAGGGGGAGTGTGGGAGGGGGCGCTGCCAATGCTCATGCGCCGCAGCGCCGCACTGCGGCTGGTGCGGTGTGGGGCCACGTCTTTCTTGTTACCAGCGAACCAGCGGTGAGGAGCCTTAGCGTATCGATGCAAATACACGCCGACCTTGTAGCTTGAGATATCGGCCCAGCGACAAACAAAATACTAAGGACGGGGCTCCAGGTGAGCGTTCCGCGGCCCTTCCTCCATCAGCCCCCACCTGTTTCAACCCAAGCACCCCTTGCCAGCCGCCCCTCCTCTTCCCTCTCCTCCTCCTCCTCCTCCTCCTCCTCGGCATCCTCGCTCCCCTCTCTACCAAGGCCTCCAACTCCACCTGTCCTCCTCCTCCTCCTCCTGCTGTTCCCCCTCGTCCCATGTATCATCCTCCCCAATCTCTCTCCCGCAGCGCGGTGCCGGATGTGCGCGACGGCGCCCCTGGGCTCTTGCCGGGTCCCGCGTGGGTCGAGGTGTCCGTAAAAAAAGGGTCGTCGTCGTCATCGTCGCCGCCGCCGTCGGCACTATGACGTCATGATGGCGACCCGGCTGCAAATGAAACAATCTTCCCGAGAGCACTGCTGGGGGACGTGCGCGAGCGAGTACTTCAGAACGTGCACTGAGGACGGGTGGTGAGGACGCAAGACCCCTGGAGGCTGAAGTCGGGGTTTTTGGGGGGCGGGCGACCAGTGAAAACGGCACAGGACGGGCCGCGGAGGCAAGGACACAAGGGCCACCCTAGATAAAAGCGCGCGTCCCTACTGGGCGCGTTGACTGGGCACAAGTATGACGACCCGGCTGCAATTCGAACGACCTGCCCAAGGACACCGCTTGGGAACAGGAGGGAGGACGGACGGGCGGAAGCTCGCGCGTGCGCGCCAGGTGTGGTGGCCCTCCGAGGACGGAGCGGCGGCGCCATGGCGCCGGGAGGAGAAGAGGGAGAGGGGTGGAGAAGAGGATAAGGACGAGGGTGGAAGGAGGAGGCAGGAGGAGGAGGAGGAGGGGGGAAGGAGGAGGCAGGAGGAGGAGGAGGAGGAGGGGGGAAGAGGAGGAGGAGGAGAAGGAAGGAGGAGGAAAAGGAAGATGGAGGAGGAGGAGGAGGAGGAGGAAGAGTAAAAGGAGGAGAAGGAGGAGAAGGAGGAAGGAGGGGGAGAAGGAGGAGGAGGAGGAGAGGAGGAGGAGGAGGACGAGGAGGGTTGAAAGATGGAGGAGGAGGAGGAGGAGGAGGAGAAGGAGGAAGGAGGTAGGAAAGAAGGGAGGGAGGAGGACCAGGAGGAGAAACAGGGGGGGGGAGAGGAGGACGTGCGTGGCAGCGCACGGGGACGGTTGGGCCCCACGCGGTCCGAGGTGTCCGTGAAGAAGTAGAAAGCGGCCGCGTCGATCTTCAGGGTGAGTACCGACTGAGCCAGCGTGTACCTGCCCGCGCGAGGAGGCGGAGGAGGAAGAAGCATGAGGAGGAAGACAGGGCGCAAGGGCGCCGAATAGAGGCCGCTCCTTGAGGGCTGACGCAGAGGGTCGGACGGAAGCGCTCACATTGCAAAGCGCCTGGACCACCCACTGTCCAGGGTGAGGGCGCTGAGGAGGTCCGAGGAGGAAGCGAGGACGAGGAGGGGGAGGGGGGAGGAAGGGGTGGGGTACGCATTCACCGCCGCAATTGCAGGGTTGAGCACAAGGGAGCTGACGACAAACATGAGGGTCCAGACGCCCACGGAGACGATACCTATGACAGCAGCGTCCCCGCTGGCCACGATGGTGACGGGTATGGCGATCGTTGCCAGGAACATGAGGAGCACCAGGGAGCAGACCACCTTCTGTTGCAAGAAGCCCTGCCGTATCTCGCTCATCTCGTCCCCGCTCATCTGCTTCTCCTCCAAGCCACCCGACAACAATGGAATGACGCAGAGCACGGCGGGTACTGCTGATATGAGGTAGGCCGACTTAGCTCCGAAAGAGTTGATAATGAAACCAGACCCCATCACTGCGATCAAAGAGGCGGCATCAATGCCCATATACACGAATGTCAAGAGGTCTGTGCCTCCAGTCAACGACCTGCTTTCCTTTACCTTTTGGGTGAATTTCCCCTGCGTGAGAATGTCAGCGGTGACAACTTGCAAGGTCATGAGAAAACAACAGGCAACTAGCATCATGAGTGGTGTCGACGCATGGGGCAATACCCCAACGGTTGCAAATGCAGATGCGCCCAGCAGAGATGTCACAAGGATGTACGGCGCCTTGCTGTAGCCCCCAACGGGAAATGCGTCAGAAACGAGCCCTATGATCGGTTTCATGGCCCATGGCAGATTGACCAAGCTGAGGTACATCTGCATCTCGGGTGCGGGCACGCTGTAGGATGCGTAAATGTAAGGCTCCGCCATCTGGCAAAGCTGGCAAACAAAACCCTTCATCACATGTTCAATCGTGGATAGGTACACAATGAAGTTGCCACCGTAATTCCGTGCAAGCTCCGCTACATAACCAATCGGACCGCTTGGAGGATCTGGACCCTTGCCGTCAGGATGGGCGATCGTCTGCGCCTTGGCCATCGGTAAGGCCTGCTGTGCTCGTCTCTTACCCAGATTGCTTGCGGATGGGCCCTTAGAGGCGAGCAGCGATGTGTTCTCATCCTCGTCACTCTCGAGGTTCTCGGCAGCAAGGCGAGCGCACAAAGTATGCCGGCGCGAGGAATGCATGAATCCTTCAGCCCCCTGTGGGTCGACCAGGCTGCATGGAGCAAATCTTCAAGCTAGCAAACGGGCTCGCAGCAAGCTGGCATTGGAGCACCCCAGCTGTCAAACATCCCCCGGCGACCTTTACAAAACGACGGAGCGGGGCTACTGTTCTGGTGAACGACTGATGCCCCGCGGAGGGGCGAATGGCCCGTTAACCTCCGCCGACCGTGCGCTCACAGGGTCGTCAAGGTCCCCCGGAAGCTCGGGGTCCACCATCTCGCGGCAGCGGGCTGTGGACCCCGAGGCGATGCCCGGGGGCACGAACAGAACATTACACGAGCTGCGTGGGACGTGTCCTCGCTCCCCACCTTTTTCCTTCGCCTCCTCCTCCTCCTCCTTCTCACCCCTCCTCCTCCTCCTCCTCCTCCTCCTCCTCCTCCTCTTCCTCCTTCTCCTCCTCCTCCTGCTCCTCCTCCTCCTCCTCCTCGTAATCCTCCTCGTATTCCTCCTCAGTATCCTTATACGGCCGACGGCCGTTCTCAAAGTCAGAAGGCAGCTCACCGCCCAGGGCACACCGCCAACCCGACCGGCGCGCACGAAACGGGCGCGGCCCTGCGGAGCCTTCGAGAGGTGCGCACCAGCCAGCGCGGCGCTCCAGGCGTCGTAACCTGCAATCGGTCATCACATCAGACTTCCCCCTACAGAAGGGGTCTTGAAGAAGGAACCCTGTTCGTTGGGGAGGGGCTCGGCGTTGCTTGATTGTTCAACAGTTTACCTGAGGTGTTCCTTTGGTTTTCGATGGGAAATCGAAGTTCAACTTATGGAAAATAGGGGTCTCGTTCCTTATTTAGGGTTCCTCAGGTCAAGGCCCCGACTGTACCTTCTTTCAACAAGAATCACTTCGCGCTTCCCATCGTATCGAAGCTTCCCGGTCCATTGTCGAAGCCCATTGGAGCAGATGTGGGCTTTTTTGGGGTGCTCTCGAGCCCTCTCCGAGTTGGAGCCCAAGAGGCACGATTCCAATACAAAGCATTCGAAGCCCACATGTTTGAAACATCTCTCAAACGAAGCAACCGATTTGGCAATTCTGCGCAAGGGGGACGGTACGGGTTTGGCGAACGAACCTTCCGCTCAAACTTCCCATGCCGATTTCAATCCAAACGATAACCGCTTCAAGCCATCCTGCAGCGGAAGAGGACCCCCCATTGGGCCATGGGAAGCGACCTCCCTCTTTGAACGCTCCCTCTTCTCTGGAATCCAAGCAAAAGTCGCCTCGGGCTTCTCGCTGTGGGGAGGACCATCGCCCAATCGCAAATCGCGAGAGCTCATCCCCTCAAGCTCTCCCTCTGTTCCCCGGAGCAAGACGAGAGGCACCTCGCGCTTCTCAGTGTACAGCGACCGTTCGTCTGTTCGGATGCCTGGGCCCTTCTCTACCTCAAGCTCCCCCTTCCCTTCTCGTGGCCCAAGCGAGAATCGCACTGCGCTTCTGATGTCACTGCTGGGCCATCAGCACCAGGGCGACAATCGATCGCAACGCATGATAAATCCTCGCCCCATAGGATCAGCACCATTTGCAAAAGCACCAGGGATGGCGGCCCTGTGAAGCTGGGGGCGAGAATCAGCGGCACAGGGTCACGGCAAGGCAGCCTCCGACCACTACCCGATGGCATTGCCAAAGCTTCCCACAGGCACCGAGGGCAAACCAAAGCTTCCAAGGGCCTCCGCACGCAGGGCCTTCCCAGCATTCCCAGACCTCCCAGGGACCCGTGGGACCCCACGGGCTCCCGGAAAGCTCCCCAGCTCGCTGCGGCCCCAAGATAAACACCAATCTGGCCATACGGTGTCCAGATCTGGTCCAAGATAATTCCAGAAAGGACCCATAGGGTCTAACAATGGCTGAGTTTTGCCAAGTCGGGGTCTTCTGGAAGACTACGCAGAGGGGGCTTTGGGTATTAGGAAGCTAATCTTGGATCTCAGCCCTGGGAGGACAACCACGCGTCCCACCCTGAGAAGCCACGAACTCATCGGGAGGGGGCAGCAGAGGGCGAAGCCTGTGAGACCTAGCGCCAAGTGCGGCCTACACAATTCGGTACTGCTGGTATGGAAATCCGTGAGCGACGAAACAAACGGGCTCACGCGAGACGACGTAGCGACCTTGCGCGGTGGCCTGCGCGGGCCTCCGGCGCGGCACACCACATCAGAAGCGAGGGCGCTGACGCGCGCCCTTGCGCGGGGAGCTCACGCGCCAGTGTCGGCGCGAACGAACGCAAGGATGCCACGCTTCGCGCTTCCCGCTGCGCCAAGCGCGAGAAACTTCGCTCGCTCGCGCCGCACTGGCAGGGGGAAAGAGGAGGATGAGGAACCGGAGCCCAACCGCGAAGCGCGAATGACTTCGCGCCCTCGAGGGCGCCCTTGGAACCCGTTTTTTGCGCCGCTCACGTGTAGCCACGCTGGCGTGCGCCAGAATGGCTTGAGCCTGAACGGCTCTGGAATGAGGGGCCACAGTAGGGGGGACTGGCATAGGAGGGGACACATCGACGTGGAATCGGCGATACATCGCCGATGGATCGGCGATAGGGCCCCGGAAGTGGATCCACACGCTCCTGGGCAGGTTGGGGCTATCGGCCTACTGTTGGCGATCAATGGGCGATTGGAGGTCGATGCGTCCCCACCCTCATTTGGAAGTCGGAAGAGGGGAGTGGCAGAAAGGGGTTTGGTGCCAATCGTGGGAAGTGCGATTTCATCAACGACAGATACCATTGCCAGATTCAGCAGTGGCGCCACACCCCATTCCTACCTCCAGAGCTATGCTATCCCCCGTCCATCGTGGCCCCTGGTTGAAGTCGCTGGCAAGCATGGGGGGTGCGGGCCTTCTGGCACACATGTGCGCACGAGAACGAGACTTTGCGACGTCGCGGGCGCTCGGAGGGGCGATGGCGGAAGCGAAGGGGACTACAGGCCCCGCCGGAGCCCCACAGCTGTCGGCTCTACGTAAGGAGTGACCCTGGGCAGGAGTGACCCGCGCGGCTTCCGGAGGCAGCGAAGGGACCAAATCCAAGCGTGCTGGCCAGTGCTGGGGAGACCGCTAGGCCCTATGAGCCCGCACCAAAGGTCACTCCAGCGAAGGGTCACGCTTACGTGCAGTCGAAACTGGCCGAGATCGGCGCGATCCCCCCGAACTCCGGTCCTATCATGCCGAAGGTGACAGAGTTCGGCCAGAAAAAAAAACCTGTCAGCGTCCAAACAGGCGCGCGAGATTAGATTCTCGACGTCGGAGGCGCGGGGGGGGAGGGGGCAAACGGCAAGGAACGCCTGCGGGATTCTGGCCTGTTCGGACTCCAGAATTTGTCCGACACTTGCGCGAAGCCCACCATGCCGTCCTTCGCATCCCGATGCTGTGGATGCTCGGTCGAACTTCCGGCCAACGCCTCAAGACACGTGAGCGCTGGCGAAAATGCCGCCCTGTTTCCACACTGTTGAACTTTCGGGTGCGCCGAAAAGGTTGCCCAGGAAGACCGGGGTTCGCGCGCCCACATGCGATGCACCGAGAGAAACCAAGAGTGCCGTGAAATCTTGGAGATGCCGTGACCGCCGCCGCATGATATCCACACACCTGGCCCTGGGGTGGACGAAATGGGGGGACAGCACAAGCGGGGTTCGCGAATCAGATCACGCAGCTGGTTTCTCCTGGCGCCAGGAGGCGCCGATGGAATTCTTGAGGATGAACGCGCGGTGGCGGGACCGAAACTGGCCCCCCACTCCCAATCCCCCCCTTTCGCCCGATTCATGCCGTCACGGCGGGCCATGAGGCCCTCACAATCCCCGCGCTCGTCTCCCAGAGCGCCCCCAGCGCCTGCACCTTGGCCTCGCGTGCTGGATCATGTTCTTTGAAGAATCAAAATGGCAAAAAACGGCAGGTCTGACGTCTTATTTTCACATCCGGCCGCATTCCTTGTGTTTCAATGAGCCCGGCGCAACCCCAATTAGCGGAACGCTTCCTAAGCGGCATGGCTTGGCATTGCTTCGCATGGCTTTGAATCGCTTGGCGTTGATTGGCATTGCGTGGTGCTGGGTGGCATTGCTTCGCATGGCTTGGCATCGATTGGCAATTCTTTATGATGTGTTGCAATGGTTCCCTACCTAGGCTCTGCCTAGAAGGGTTCTTACTCGGTGTGCTTAACGGGCCGGGCAGTGGACCCCCCCCCCGGGCGGTTCCCCCAGTATCCGCCCCGCGGTTCCCCCAGTTACGTCCCCTTAGCTTAGCGTTGCTTATCTCATCTTAGCTTAGCTTATTTCATCTTAGCTTAGCTTAGGTTCATCTTAGCTCAGGCTGATCTTAGCTAGCTTACCTTCAGCTTAGCTTCGCTGAGCTTTAACATAGCAGAGCACAGCGTAGCATAGCGTAGCATAGCATAGCGCAGCATCGCATAAGATAGCATGGGTGTAATTCCCGACTGAGGCTCTGCTTAGAGGGTTAGCTTAGCTTAGCATAGCACAGCTTAGCTTAACTTGGAATAGCGCAGCGCTGAATTAGCATAACATAGCATAGCAAAACATAGCCAAACATGACATAGCATAGCGCAGCATAGCATAGCATAGCATATCATAGCATCGCATAGCGAAACTTAGCATAGCATAGCTAAACTTAAAGGGCCGGGCAGTGGGGCTCGCCCCGGGCGGTTCCCCCGGCATCCGCCCCGCGGTTCCCCCAGTGACGTTCCCTTAGCTTCGCGTTGCTTATCTCATCTTAGCTTAGCTTATTACATCTTACCTTAGCTTAGCTTCATCTTACCTCAGTTTCATCTTAGCTTAGCTTACCTTCATCTTAGCTTCGCGGAGCTTTAGCATAGCAGAGCACAGCACAGCATAGCAGAGCGTAGCACAGCACAGCGCAGCACAGCATGTCATAGGAAAGCCCAGCACAGCACAGCATAGCGCAGCATAGCACAGCATAGCATAGCATAGCATAGCGCAGCATATCACAGCACAGCATAGCACCGCGCAGCACAGCAGAGCATAGCATAGCAGCAAAGCAAAGGCAAAGCAAGAGCAGCGACAGCAAAGCAAAGCACAAGCAACGCAAAGCAAAGCAAAGCAAAAGCAACAGCAAAGCAAAGGCAAACCAAAACAAAAAGCACGACAATGCAAAACAAAACCAAGACCAATACAGAAGTGTAGATGTAGGTGTAGATGTAGTTGTAGGTCTAGATGTTGATGTAGACATAGGTGTTTATGTAGGTGTGGATGTAGATGCAGATGTGAGTCTCGCTGTTAATGTTGCTGTGGATGTAGATGCGGGTGTAGATGTTGATGTAGTTTTCGGTTTAGATATGCAAGGATTGGCATCGCATGGCGTTGCCTGACATTACTTGGCATTGCTTCGAACCGCTTCGCATTTCTGTAAAATGTCTGGCATTGCTTCAAACAGAACCAGGAGAAAAAAAACAAGCCCAGGGACTCCGGGGAACCCGAGACAGGCTGGCTTTCCAAGACAAGAAAGAAACAAGAACATAGGGACCCGAGTGACCCCTTCATCCCGGAGGAGCACGGAGAAGGCTGGTCTTTCAGAGTCCTTCCTCGCCGTTGTCGCCCTTGTTTCGCCTCCTCCGCCTTCACGTGGTCATCCGGCTCCTCCCGCTCATCCTGAACCTGCTCCTGCTGTTGCGGCTGCTCCTCCTCCTCCTCCTCCTCCTCCTCCTCCTCCTCCTCCTCCTCCTCCTCCTTCCTGATCTTCATGCTCATTGACTTGCTGCTCGTCCTGCTCATCCGCCTCTTCCACTTCCTCCGATGTGCACAACTCCCCTCTCTGCATGTGCATGAAGCGACGGGGTCAGCCCGGGGGTTCCAGACCTTCTTTGACACCCATCGACGGGCCGAGGAAAACTCAGCGCCATTGGAAGGGATGGGTGCGAGAGATAGGATGTCAGATATGGCGCGAGCATGGCTAGCACGACCTCCTCCCTCTCTTCCCTTTCCTCCTCCGCTTTCCCCCTCCTCCTCCTCCTCGCCCTCGTCCTCCTCGTCCTCCTCCTCCTCCTCCTCCTCCTCCTCCTCCTCCTCCTCCTCCTCGTCCGACGCAGGCCCAAGCAGGGTCCCCCCCCCCCCGCCACCACCACGTCCGAGGATTCGCGGGGCTGGAGGGGCGGGCAGCAGCCAGGGGAGGGGATGAGCGGGCAAGAGCGGGGCCAACCCCTTCCCCCCTCGCCTCTGTGCGCCCCTGTGGACCCCGCGAACGGCAGGGCCGTTTTTTCACCGTTTCCCAAAAAATGTCCCTTGAAAATGGAAACGGCAAAAACACGGCGACCGGAAACGGCAAAAAAACGGCTCCAGGATTGGACCCAGAGCCGGAACCAATCAAAAAACGGCAAAACGGAACCAGTAACAAAAACGGCCCCGTCGCTTCCAGGGCCCACTAAGCTCCAGAGGCACCAAGCGGCGTCGGCCGCCTGCTCCTCTCATCTCACCTCATCGCCTCGCATCCCCAGAAGAAGCACTGCCAGCAGAACTATATAAACTTTGGACGCTCCGCGCGGACTTCGTGGATCTGCGCCGGCACGGAACTTTTGAGGACTTTTGGTCGCTTGAAAATTTTGTTCTCAAAATTTGAACATTCGTTAGAGCTCTAGTATTTTTTCCCGTGATATTCGATCTTATTCTCGCTCGCTATCTTGATCTCAGCTCGATCGGGTGAATATTACTATCGAAAAGCACTGTGGCGGGATCGGCCCTCCCTCCCCGGCGCGCGGAGCGCTCCTCGGGGGCCGGGCGCGGATCCAGGAGATCTGCGCGGAGGGCCACGAGTTTAGATGTTCATGGCGTCTCGTCCCCGTCGATCCCAGCAGCCTCCTCCCAGCGTCGACCCCCCGTCCCGATCACCGCTCCTCCCGCCTCGCCTGCACGGCCCTGGCCTTCCCAAGCCTGGCGGGCCTGGGAGGGAGCGGAGCCCACCGCCACAGCGCAGCGGCAGGGTCGGGCTGCTTCACTGCTTCTCGGCTGCGAAGAATGTCGTTTTTTTTTTGTCTCGAGCGGACATGTCGCTGGGAACCCATAGAAGCATCCGAGGCCGCAAGTTGAGGAGCTGCAAGAGGAAATCGGACGGGAGAGCGACGAGCTGGACAAAACGCAGCAGCACGCAAAACATGGGAGTGCGACTAATATAGATTGGCCAGAAGTTCCACTTCAGCCACCGTGCCTGATCATGCCTTCAACTTCCCGAGGAATCATGCTGGCCAAGAACTCATTGCCGGAAGGTGCGCTGCAACCGCCCAGAGTCAGTTCCCGCTTGGCGGATAGCTCAGTAGATATAGGCATGCTTCGCTAACGCATGGACGAGGCTTCTGTGTCGAGGTACCGCTTCATCATGAGCATGTACGCTGCGCACGCGCTTCCAAGCGGCCCAGCAATGTTCAGGGAGCGGTTCTCTGGGTCACCGGGAATCTCACGAATCCCGATTTTCGTGCCAGTGGTGTTCTGAATGTCCTTCGTCCCTGAGCCAGCCCTACCGATCAAGCCGCCGACCATCCGATTTGGGACTATGCAGCTCAGCGCGAAGCCGCGCTCGTCTTCCAACACGTATGGAGGCAAATTTCTCGCCGTGTCAACCAACAGCTGAACAGCCGGGTGCTCTCCTCTGTGGCCACCTCGGGGAGGACGATCATCTCTGTACGAGTTGCCCCAGTCCTCTGCGGGTGCGAAGCCCACGTCCTTGTCCTTGCCCTTGCCGCCCTTGCCGCCCTTGCCGCCCTTGCCCTTGATCCAACCGTCCTTGTCGCCCTTGCCGCCCTTCGGAATGCAGCCGCCGCCACCGCCGCCGCCGTGGCAGCCGTGGTCCTCGGCCCACTCCTGCCACCAAGGCTCTTCGTTGACAGCTTGGACCTGCTGGTTGATCTCGGCCATGCAGTACTCCAGGGCCTGCTCGCTGCCCACCAGCGTGACGACCTGCTCCGCGCCTGGGCCCGAGCCGATGGGCTCCGCGATCGAGACCTTGGCCCCGCTGGTCTCACGCAGCTGCTTTATGGCAGCCCCTCCCTTGCCGATGATGCCCCCCACCGCCGCCTTCGGCATCAGCGTCCGGAGCTTCAGCTGGCCGACGTCCCCCACCGCTTCGGACGGGGCCTGCTGCACGCACTCGGTGACCTTCGACACGATCTGCACGGCCACCTCGGCGAGCGCGTCGGGGGTGCTGCCCTGACAGGTGAGCACGCGGTCCTCCGTGTCGGGGTAGAGCTCGTGCTTGTCCGTCAGCCCCAGCTTCGCCTGCGTCAGCTCGCGGATCTCCTTGATGGCAGCGCCGCCCTTGCCGATGACGGCGGAGGCGAGGGCCTCGGGGCAGAGGAACTTCAGGACGCAGGGCATGTCCACGGGCCGCACCCCCTTCCCCCCCTTCCTCCTCTGGTGCCGCGGTCGATCGGCCACCCTGAGAACGGGCACGGGGCACCCCAGGAACAAAGAGGCAGACCCTGCAGAAAGCCCCTCCCACAAGAAGCGCAGATTCGGGGACGCACTGACCCCGGTTCATGCAGACCCAGGTCAGTCAGGCCTTGCAGGATCCTGCAAGATCCTGCGCGTAAGCCTGGGTCAATGCCCCCCTGGCTCTGCAGGATCCTGCAAGATCCGGCGCTCTGGCTGACCCCCCTCTTTGCATTGGCCCCTGTCTCTAACAGCTCGAAGCAGCCCTAGCCTGGCTGCTTCTGGACAGTCGCTTGATCGCTTCTGGGCCTCCCACGGGTCGGTGCGATTGCCCCTGGGGTCTCCAGACGGGCGCCGCCAGAATCAGGCCCGAGCCGACGGGGTAGGAGGATCGCACCGCCTCCCTTTAGTGCGGAGGGGTGATAAGGAGGCGGAAGGAGAGGAGGGAAGAGCTTGGAGGAGAAAACTGTACCCATGCGCTAGCATTGCCTCGTTTTCCTTTTCTTGGTCTCCTGGGAGGCCCTCGTCGCCACTGCTGGACTCGCATCGAAACTCTGGTCAGAACGCACCAGGGGAGTGTACTGTTTGACCTCCCCAGGAGTTGGAGAAAGCAGGCGGATGGGGAAGACGAGGAGGACGGGGAGGCGGAAGGACGGGGAGGAGGGACGGGGAAGAGCGGGGAGGAGGACGAAGGAGGGAGGAAGAGGAGGAGGAGGCGGAAGCATGCAGCAAGCAACGGCGCCCGCCCAAGAGCAGGCAAACATCGGAACGCAACAAACAAACAATCCCCGTGGTACGGGGCCCGGAGGTGAGGCGACAACCTCCGTATAGAAGTCGGAAAGTATGCACTCGGGTGCGCCGAAGAGGGGGGGGGGGGCCAGGGAGAGTTGGGTGAGCGCGCATCAGAGGCCGAGGCATCTGCGCGGACGAGGGAGGGGTGGCAGGAGACGACCTGGGACAAGAGAGCGCTAATGAGGACGAGGAGAAGGAGGAAGAAGGGGCCTGGACGCCTGGAGGATGTCCGAGCCCCTTGCGTCGACACGCGAGAGGCGCGCCTGGGCAAGGGTGACCTCTTGGTGCGCGGCTTCAGGGGGCCGCGGGCAGGCCAAACTCCAAACGCGCAAGCCAGTGCCGGAGGGGCCCCGTGGCCCAGACCACCGACGTCATGATTTCTCCACAACGTCGACTCGGGATCGGCCAAGAGGGGGGGGTGTCCAAGAGGGGGGGGTGCATATCATGACCGGCGGCACGTGCGCGGCCCAGCGGGGGGGCCAGGGACGTACCGAAATGAGAAGGGGCGCCATGAAATCTGCGGAAATATCATGGCCACCGCCATGATATCCACCCCCCCTAGTCATCACCCCCCTCGTTGCCGCTCCCGATCGACCCTCAAGAGTCTCGACCCCTTCCCCACGAACGGTTTTCCATCCAGAATCGTCTTTTGACGGCACCAAAGGCCGGTAAGGGCCTCCAGAGGGCGAAAATAGGGGAACACCTCCCATCATGATTGTTTCATTGCCCGAGGGGGGCCCCGTGAGCTCGTGCCAGAAAGGTCATTCTGGCGAAGGGCCGCTCTCCCCTCTCACCCCTGCGCAACCACCAGGCACGGCTCCCACCGGCGCCGGACGACAACGCTCGGCCGCCAGCGCCGGAAGTGCGACGCCCCACCCAGACCCCCGACGTCATGAATCTGTCATGACGTCGACCCTCAAGAGGCCTCGACCCACTTCCGCAAACCCGCTTTTCCTCCTGAGTCGATTTTTTAACGGTCCCAAGGCCGGGCGAAGGTACCTGAACCTCCCGTCGTGATTTTTGTTCGCAGCGCGAGGAGGTCTGGGTGCGACGCCCCCCCTGGGGGGCCTGGGCCCGCCCCGAAGCGGCCGACCGACCGCGGCCGCTGGTGCGGCGGGCCGTCGCCGTCGCCCTTGCCGCCCTCGAACCGCCTCTTCATGCTGGGCGCGAGGAGGGCCCCCCGGCGGGGCAGGGCGGGCGCGCGAGCGCGGAAGCGGCGCTCCCCTGGGGTGGACGACAATACGCGGAAGGCACCTGCACGCCACCATCGTCATCGGCATCGGCATCGTCTTCGTCCTGGCCCTCGTACTCTCGGCGTCCGAGACCGGCGCGGGAGTTCCGACGAAGCCCTCCTGGATTCTTCGCGGGGAACATTGTCGGGAGGGTTTTTGGAAGGTTTTCCCGGGGGGAGGGGCGAGGAAGGTTGTTTGCAGGGTTTTCCAAGAACCGTCCAAAAAAACCTTGCGAAACAAAGCATCCAACAACCTTCCAAATACCTTCCAAAAAACCGTCCGAAGTCTTCCAACAACCTTCCAAACTTCAGCGAAACCGCCGAATACATTGCAAAAGCCTCCCAACAAACCGTCAACAAAAAAACACACACTAAAACCTTCCAAACAAACCGCCAAACAAAACGCCCGAAGACCTTCCAAAAATCTTCCAACAATACCTTCCGAAAACCTTCCTCGCGAAGAATCCACGAGGGGTTGGCCCAAAAACCTTGCAACAAAAACCTTAGTGGCGAATGTTTGTGGAAGGTTTTTTGGGGAGGTTTCTGGAATCCTGGATATTTCGTGAGACAATTTTTCGAAGGTTATTTGGAAGGTTCCAGAAATCCTGGATTCTTCGTGACGGAGGTTTTTGGAAAATTCCTGTTGGAAGGTTGTTCCGGCAACCTTCGAAACAACCTTCTAAAAACCTTCCAAGCAACCTTCCAAAAACCGTCCAACATCCGGCCAATAACCTCCAAAAATAGCAACCGCCCAAAAAACTTACAACAGCAGCAACAAAAGAACGTACAAACAAAAGCCTTCCGAAAACCTTCCAAACAACCTTCAAACAAAAAACCTTCCCAACACGTGCCAAAACCTTCCAAGCTTCCGTCCCAAAAAAGTCAAAAAAATGACCGGTCGAAAACATTCCAAACAAACCTTCTAAACACCTCCCAAAAACCTGCAACAAAAAACTGCCCGAAAACTTTCATCGCTAAGAATCCAAGAGGGGTTGGCTCAAAAACCTTCCAATGACCTTCGCGACGAAGGTTATTGGAAGGTGTTATTTTGAAGGGCTTCTGGAATCCTGGATTCTTCGCGGCGAAGGTTTTTTGGAAAGTGGTTTGGAAGGATCGGGGAATCACGGATTCTTCGTGACGAGGGTTTTCGAATTGATTTTTTCCGCAGGTTCAAGGGATCATGGATTCTTCGCGACGAGGATTTTGGAAAGTGCGCTCGGGAGGCTTTTGCCAGATAAAACTTGTCAAACAGAAAACAGTCAAAAACATTCCAAACAACCTCCCAGACAAACTTCCAGCAACCTTCCAAACAAAAAGAACGCCCAAAGAAAACAAGCACAAGAGCCGCCCAACAACCTAGCAACAAAACTACCAAAATTAAACGCCCAAAACATTCCAACAACCTTCCAACAACCTCCCAAAACAATCTTCCAACAAACCTGTCAAAAACCTGCCAACAAACCTTCCAGCAACCTTCCAACGACCGTCCAAAAATCACCCAACAACCGTTGAAACAACCTTCAAACAAAAAAAACCTTCGAAACACATTCAACAAAAAGCTTCCAAACACCTTCGTGACGAAGAATCCAGGAGAGGGTTGGCCCAAAAACCTTCCAAAAACCTTTGGGACTAAGGTTTTGGGGGTCTTTTGTTTTGAAGGTTTCTGGAATCCTGGATTCTTCGTGGCGAAGGTTTTTGGGGGGCGTCTTGGATGGTTATGAGAATCCTGGGTTCTTCGCGACGAAGATTGTTGGAAGGTTTTTTTGGTGGGATCCAGGAATCCGGAATTATTCGTGACGTGGTTTGTTGGAAGGTTTCTTAACGGTGTTTCCAGAAACCTTCAAACATCTTTCCAAAAGCCAGCCAACACCTGCCAACAACGTTTTCTTATATACATATATATATATATCACTTCGAAGACCACCCCCAACAAAAAAAACCTTACACACACCTGTCGACAACTTTTCAAACCACCTTCCAAACAACTTCCAACAACCTTCAAAACACCGTCCAAACCAACCTCCAGAAAACCGTCGACAACACATCCCAACAATCTTCATGACGATAATATTTGGAATGTTGTTCGACGGTTCCAGGAATCCGGGAGTCTTCATGACAAGGGATTTGGGAAGGTTCTTTGGAAGGTCTTTCTTTTTCGAAAAAACCTTCCAACAATCTTCCGAAACCTTGCAAAACAACCTTCGATAACATACCAACAACCTTCCAACCGCCTTCCAAACGCCGCCCAACAAAGCTTCCAACATTTAGCGGCACCGCCCAATACATTCTGATACATTCGAACAACCCTCCAAAAACCTTGCAACATAACAACCTTCAAAAACACCTTTTAACACCCTCCCAACAACACCTTCCACACACCTCCAAACGAACCAACAACCTCCCGAATAAAAAACTTACAAACACCTTCCCAGAACCTGCCACGCAAAACCTCCCAACAACCTTCGTGCCGAGGGTTTTTGGAAGGTGCGTTGGAGAAGGGCGCAGTTGAATACGGAGTGCTGCGTCGGGCGCGGAGGCACGGCGGGCGGGCGGCGGCGGCGGGCGGCGGGCGTGCGGCGGGCGGGCGGCGGGCGGGCGCATCGGGATTTCATTAGAACTCCTACGGATTCTGTTTTGCAGCGGAGATTTCATTAGAACTCCTACGGGATTTCATTAGAACTCCTACGGGATTTCTGTTTTGCAGCGGATTCATTAGAACTCCTAAGGGATTTCATTAGAACTCCTACGGATTCTCATTAGATGCCGCTGAGTGCTGTGCGTTGCGTTGGAGACGGGAACCGTTGAGTGCCGGGCGTTGCGTTGCACGCAGACGCCGTCGAGTGCCGGGCGCTGCGTTGGGCGCGGAAGCACGGCGGGCGGGCAGGAGTGCAATGGGATTACTCTCGCAGAGGATTGCAGCGGGATTCAGGCGCATCCCGCTGCAAGAAAGAATCCTGAAGAGCTTTATGCCGATCCGCCCGCCCGCAGCTCGCCCGACTGCCGCCTGTCCGCTGCCCGCCGCCCTCCGCCCGCTCGCCGCGCTTCCGCGTGCGACGCAACGCTCGGTCGCGGGTCAGGTCGGGACGGGGCGGGTCGAGCAGACCCTGACGGGCGGGTCTGGTCGGGGCGGGTCGGGCCCTAGCGGGCGGGTCGGGTCGGGCGGGCGGGACCTTGAAATGAGATGCATGTGCGAGTGGGCGCGAGAGAACCCTCGCGGGTCGTGTCGGGGCGGGGCGTGACGGGTCGGGCAGACCCTACCGGGCGTGTCGGGCTGGGTCGGGTCGGACCCTAACGGGCGGGCCGGGGCGGGCGGGCGGGACAATAAATCATGATGCATTCGCGAATGGGCACGCGCGAACCCTAACGGGCCTGGTCGGAACTGGACGGGTCAGGTCGGGCGGACCCTAACGGGCGGGTCCGGTCGGGTCGGGCGGGCCCTGACTGGCGGCCAGGCCAGGACGGGTCGGGCCCTTGCGGGCGGGTCGGGTCGGTCGGGCGGGACATGAAAGCATGATGCATGTGCGAATGGACACGCGAGAGCTCGAGCGGGATGGGTCGGGGAGGGACGGGCCAGGTCGGGCAAAACCTAACGACAGGGTCGGGGCGGGTCGGCGGGGCATTAAAGTAGGAAGCATGTGCGAGTGTACACGCGAAAACTCTAGCGGGTCGGGTTGGGGCGGGGCGCGGCGGGCGGACCCTAGCGGGCGGGTCGGGTCGGGTCGGGCCGGGCCGGGCCCTAACGGGCCGGCCGGGTAGGGCGGGCGGGACATGAAAGCAGGATGCATCAACGAATGCATCAACGCAGGACATCCAAGTATGATGCGTGTGCGAATGGACACGAGAGAACCCTAGCGGGTCGGGTCGACAGGTCGTGTCGGGTCGGGCGGGCCATCGCGAGCGGATTGGGCCGGGTCGGGCCAGGCCCGAACGGGCGGGTCGGGGGGGGTCTGCGAGACGCGAGAGTGTGATGCATATGCGAGTGGACACGCGAGAACCCTCACGGGCCGGGTCGGGACGGGACGTGCCGGGCGGGCCCTAACGTCGGGCCGCGCGGGGTCGGACCCTAAGGGGCGGGTCGGGGCGGGCGGGCGGGGCATAGAAAAAATATGATGCATGTGCGAAAAGGCACGCGAGAAACCTTGTGGGCCGGGTCGGGACGGGGCCGGTCGGGCGGAACCTAACGGGCGGATCAAGTCGCGTCGGGCGGTTAACGGGCGGGTCGGGTCGGGTCGGCGGGACGCTAAAATATTAATTACGCATGCGCGAGTGAACACGCACAAGCCCTAACGGGTCGGGTCGGGGCGGGGCGGGTCGGGCGGACCCTGACAGGCGGGTCGGGTCGGGTCGGGTCGGGCCCTAACAGGCGGGCTGGGTCGGGCGGGAGGGGCATCAAATTATGATGCATGTGCAAATGAACACGCGAGAACCTTCGCGGGTCGGGTCGGGCGGGACGGGTCGGGTCGGGCGGACCCAATCGGTCGGGTCGGGTCGGGTCGGGCCAAGCCCAGACGGCCGGGTTGTCGCGGGTCGGCGGGGCGTTCAAGCGCATGATGCATGTTCGAGTGGACGCGCGAGAACCCTAACAGGTCGGGTCGGGACGGGTGGACCCTACCGGGCGGGTCAAGCTGGGTCGGGTTGGGCCGTATACGGGCGGGTCGGGTCGGGCGAGCGGGACATTGAAGTATAATGCATTCGCGAATGGGCACGCGGGAACTCTAACGGGTCGGGTCGGGTCGGGTCGGGCGGGCCCCAGCGGGCGGGTCGGGTCGGGCCTGGCGGACCGAAGGGTGCGCCTAAGGGAACGGCTCAGGGGTAGACCTAGGTTCGCCTAGAGGGCAGGCCTACGGGTAGACCTAGGGTCACCCTTAGGATTTAGGCCCAGGCGTAAGCCTAGGGTAGGCCGAGGGGGGAGGCCCAGGCGTAGCCTAGGGTAGGCCTGGGAGAAGGCCTAGGGGCAGGGTCGGCCTAGGGGGTAGGTAGGCTTAGGGGTGGG